GTCAGCGTAATATAAAAGTACATAACGATTGATGTGTAATTTAGCATAATTTACTAGCTAGCCGCTAGCTGCTAACTGTCGCCTCGTTAATATAAATCCAGTACCATGCTGTCATGAACGCGCGGTGCTGTTACGTGTACGCAATTTCACATGCTTAATGTGAACGAGCCTTTTGGGCGGCGTGGTTAAAGTTGCGCATGCTCTATGAGTGCACATACGGGTACTTCTCAGGCATGCCGGGTAATCTGTGACGTTTCACTCTCTCAAAAGTTGGGCCATTTTGTCATCATGCGCTAATGAGCAACTCTCATAGGAATGAATTAGGCCCCGCCTCCCACGCTGTATCCAGTTCTTATTATACATCCATGATACCACGGCGCCAAGCGGCGACCTGGGGGTGACCCGCAAAAAAAGTGATTCGCGGGTGGTATCTTTTCAAACGCTTTTTTCAGGGTTCGGTTCTGGGTAAAACAAAGATGATGCGGGTCGGGACGTGGGTGTTGCATAATAAATATATTAAAAATAATAATAATTTAGTTTAATGTTTAAATCCTCAGACCTCTCCCCCGCGGGACCGCGCATAATCATAACCTCTGCAGCGCATCAATCTGCTGCTGTGCGCGCCACATTCGAAATGGCTGAGGTGAAGCTCTCTAGCGGAGAATACAGCATTTTCAATAACACTTCCTCAAGAGCGAAATCCAACGAAAATCCACCACCCTGTTAGCAGGTGCCACTTGATTGACGTATATTTGAGACACCTCAATAATATAATACATTAACCGTGCTTTACGTGAATCTCATCATGACACAAGAGAGGACGGCAGGGATGCAATTTCCCGTGTTCAGTGAATGCAACAGAGGCAAGTCACCAGACCAATCAGAGAGTTGCATGGAAATACACGTGTGCTTGTGTCATTCAAGCTCGGCTCTGTGTGTGTGTGGCAAGAGAGCATTTAGTGTGAGAGAGAGAGAGAGAGAGAGAGAGAGAGAGAGAGAGAGAGAGAGAGAGAGAGAGAGAGAGAGAGAGAGAGAGAGAGAGAGAGAGAGAGAGAGAGAGAGAGAGAGAGAGAGAGAGAGAGAGAGGGACCGGTGCTAGCGGGGACCGTGATGTTAGCATCTGGTTAGCTAGCTGCACTAACGGACATAAGGAGCTGTTTCCACAACAAGCTGGAGGAGAGTCCTCCCCTGTCAGACTGTGGGGCTCAGGTGAGCTAAAGGACTCTCTGAGTGTTTAGAACGGTTTTGTCACAAATTATTCAAAAGATTATTTCCGCGGCACACCTTCATATGATCATTATAGTTATACAAACAATAAGAGAATAAATGAAAAACAGGTATGAAATACTATATGGCAGTAAAACAACAATAGAGTTTAAAAGGGGAGTGATTTGTAAAATATCCATAAAGAAAAAGAAAATCTGTTTACAGTTCTGTTTCATATGGGTGCTGAGAGAGGTATCCATAGATCTCTTCATGTTGCTCTCAAAGTGCACCAGATTGATGCTTTCAACTTCAATATTTAAAAGAGGAGGTGAGGTCCGCCCCGCACTCATAAAAAATAGCACTTTACCCCTGCCTATATGCCGTGAGCTGATTATGGAGCCTTCATTGTAAGAGTAATTCAGATGCAATTAGCCTATATAAAAGGCCTCAAATTGGAAGCACTGTCTGGGCCGTCTTTTTCACTCAATTCTGCAATAGGTAGATCTCGCCTTTCACCTAGCCTAGGCTAAGGTCGGTGATCTTGGGCTTAAAAAGGTTGGTGACCACTGTCCTAGATGGAGAAAGTAACCAACATTCCACGCTTTTTGAGCCAAATATGCAACTGTGTGTGTTAATAAGTGCACGTTTTCACTGCTCATAGGCGGAGTTTGACATTTGCGCTTGGGGGGGCAAACCTTTTTTACGGACGTCAGTACACAGTCCCAACTATTGCGTGGGCTGCTACGGATACAGTAGCAATAAAGCCAGCGCTCCCCGCACTGAGTATGACTTTTCCACATATGAACACAACTCGTCCCGTCATGCACGCCTCATGCCCGCCGTACACAAACACTCATATGGAAGGGGCGGTCTCTCCCCCCAACAACAGTGCATTACATAACTGTTTGTTTGCAGCCTTTATTTAACCAGGTGAAGCGCCTTGAGATCAAAAGATCTCTTTTTCAAGGGTGACCTGCAGCACATTGGTTACACATGTAACATCATAAAAACAACAGAACAACAATAAGGATGACAAACAACATAATGTGCAGGGTACAGTTTACAAACTCTATTTACAGTGACAGGTACCATGAATATCAAACAGCATGTCACCCAGCCGAGTTTTAAAATGATGCAGGGGAACCAAAGTGCTCAGTTTTAAACATGTTTGCAGACTGTTCCAATTTAGTGGAGCTGCACAACTAAAAGCTTTCTTCCCTAAGACAGTCCTAGCACTTGGCACATTTAATAAAACATGAGATCTCAGGCAATATGTACTTTCAATTCGTCGAGAGATCAGAGAGCAGATATAAAAAGGTAGTTTACCCAACATGGCTTTATAGATGAACATGTACCAATGACTGAGCCTCCGTACAGTTAGTGAAGGCAGACCTGCCTTGGCATACAGGGTACAGTGATGAGTAAGTGCTTTACAGTTAGTAACAAATCTCAGGGCACTGTGATAGGCGGCATCTAACTTTTCCAGGCAATGGGCAGGTGCATTTATATAGATCAAATCACCATAGTCCAGCACAGGTAAAAAGGTCACAGTGACTAGCCTTTTCCTGGCCTCAAAAGAGAAACAGGACTTGTGTCTGAAAAACAAACCTAGTCTAACCCTCAGCTTTTTAAGCAGATTAATGACCTGAAGTTTAAAAGTAAGACAATCATCAAGCCAGATACCTAGGTATTTATAACAGGTAACCACTTCGAGTACTTGTCCTTGCATAGCATGGGCGGCGCCAGGATTTTTTTGCTGCAGTAGCTTAGCAGTTGCTATATGACAGCACGGCGTTGCTAGTTCATTTTCAAAATAAATAAACAAACAACATCAGTGGGCCAAGCACGAGCCTGTTCATATTGTAGCGTTCACCGCTATTCAAGATGACAGATCACTCGAGCCTTCAATGTCGAAAACGTTCTCTTTATTTTCTGGTATTGACGGCCACAGCCATGCCTTACAGAACCAATCAATAGTATAACACTCATTATGACTTTTCCCCACACTCGAACACAACTCCTACCGTCTCGTATACTCTCTCCACACACACCGGAGAATGCACACACACACCTGGAAGGGGCGGTCTCTCCATAACTCCCACAAACAACATTGCCTAAATAACTTTACAAATGTACTAAACTGTGCACATCTGATAACTGAAATAACTATTAACTTGGACACGCTACAATATTATCCTTAATATTTACATTAAAACATTCCTTTGACACTTATAACATTACTTTGCAAGGTAAGCACAACCAAAATAAGTTTGTAAAAGCAGAATTTGAACACTGTTTCTGTGCTCCTACAATATTTTTGTATAATACCATTACATCCTAAGAGTACAAGTACACAATAGCGATCGTTCACTGTTTCAACTGGCATGCTGTGGCATTAACCCACGGCCACACCGCAAACAGACAGACACACCCCGGCCACCTCCTGGTCCTCCATCTCAACCGCATCGAGTTCCTCCTGGTCCTGCACCTCGTCCGGCGAGACATAGTGTGCCAGGAAGTGCTCCTGACGATGCTGGTGTCTGAGCCGCGGGAGCGAACGGCAGGCATTTCAGGACGGGGAATGTTTTACGCCATCCACAGCGTGGTCAGGCCCAAAACACTCGAAACAAAGGCGGTGGGGATCAGCGCCCGCAATTAAACCAGGACATGTAGGGCAAGGCCGGGGCTCAAGGAGTGGTGAATCCATTACTTTTCTTATTCTTTCCTCTTATCACGTTTAGCTTTTCAGTTGTTTGTCCTGCTCGCTGAAGAGAAAAAGGATGACAGTCAGGAGGCATAGCCGCCTTATATACTGTGGGCCTGCGCGCGCATTCAGGTAAGCTACGTTTATGCAACTCAGTATGTGAATGCTAGCATAGCATGGTAGAGAGTAGTAGCCATAGAGTCCAGTAGAGGGCGGAGCCTGTGTGAGATATTGTGAGGATCTGCAGTACTTCCTCCTTCTTTTCCCCCTTCTGTGTCTGTTTATCTGTGTGTCTGTCTTCCTGGCTGGGCGTGGCTGTCCTACTTTCGATTCCCGCCAACTCTCCTCAGCTGCTGCTCATCTCACTGATTGCCACCACTCACCTGCACCTGCTTAAAACCCTGGTTCCCATCCTCAGACTTCGCCAGTTCTTCGTTTATTCTTCAGTGGTAAACTATCGTCCAGGCCTAGTGTTTTTCCTAGTGACTTTTTGATGCTCCTTGTGAAAGGAAATTATTTCCTAATCCTGCTTGTTTTTCCTGTTCCAGATCCACGTCCAGCCTCCCCTCCTGGTCAGCCCAGCTCCACGTCTTCCCTCTACGTTCTCTTCGTCAACTCCTTGTCAGTGTTGTGGACAAAATAAAGCCTTTTTTGACACTTCACCACTGTCTCAGTTTTAGTGCTTGCATAGCGGGTTCTCATCTCCAGTCACTTCTCGGGAAGCCTAACAGGTATAACTGGAAAAGCGATATGTAGTTATTCTACACCTTTGCTTCGCTTATTGTGCCTGAAACTCCAAGATTGGACTCCCTTGTTTACTTCTGTTACATAGCGACATCACTATCAGAGCAGGCTGGGCTCTGGTTTCAGACAGAGGGTGAAAAGGCAGAATAAGAAAAATAATGAGCTTTTTTTAACATTAAAGTGTGGAGACATGTCACAGTAGAGGCACAGAATACCAATATGAAACCTGAAAATGGTAGCAGGGTAGTGAACATGCTTGATAGGCTAATCAATGAGCCCCAGGCTGTACTGAATGAGGAGAGGTGCATTAGAGCTTTCAGGGAAAGTAGAGTGAAATCCAGCTGACCTGGCCTGGATGGCAGCAGCTCTGGATTTCATGCTTTCAGACTGTAATGCCAGCTGGGCATTCTCCATCAGCAGGTTACCAACCTGACAAAAATGGAGAAAAGAAACGGCAAGATTAGATAAGGGAAAGTGCAAAAACAATATGTATTTCTACATATTGGCCCTTTAGTAAGATTGTAATCCTGCTAGTAATACCCCATTTGTAGAGCAACCTTTTTTTCATCCTGAATATGTAATACCATTATATGTATTACGGTAATCCCCAAAACTGGTATATCCTGAATACAACATATTTGATACTTTTAAATTATTAACCTGTTTTAAAAAATAAATAATAATCAGATTCAAGATATATAAACTGTTAAAAATAAATATATATTTGTTTTAATGATCAGGAAACTAAAGTTTAAAGTGTAACGAGGAACATTCATGGTAAGAATAATCTTCCTGTATGAACAACCTGATACTGAAAGTTGTACAGAAACGTGAGTAAGTAAGTAACATGTACAATTATTTCCAATTGAATTTGATTATCTCTGTTAAGGCTTGACATAAGTATTCTTAATTCCAAGTACATAATCCAAGTAGAAAAAGGTAGGTCCTTGACTTTTATAACACACACACACACACACATGCTTACACACGTTTATTCCCTTTGTAAACAAGTCTCTTCACTCGCCCTGAAAACTGCAGTCATTAAACTGCTCTTAAAAAAGAGCGGTCCAAAGGTTTATGGAGCCAAGGCAGAACGTATAAAAGTTAGCGCTGAGCTTCAGTGTGCAATGTTCAAAACAACAGATAAAGCCAGAAATCTAGGTGTAGTCATGGACTCTGACCTGAGTTTCAACAGTCACATTAAAACAGTTACTAAATCAGCCTACTATCACCTAAAGAACATATCTAGGATTAAAAGACTAATGTCACAGCAGGATTTGGAAAAACTTGTCCATGCTTTTATCTTCAGTAGACTCGACTACTGCAATGGTGTCTTCACAGGTCTCACTAAAACATCTATTAGGAAGCTGCAGCTGATTCAGAACGCCGCTGCTCGAGTCCTCACTAACACTAAGAAAGTGGATCACATCACTCCTGTTCTGAAGTCTTTACACTGGCTTCCTGTGTGTCAAAGAATAGATTTCAAAATACTGCTGCTGGTTTATAAAGCACTGAATGGTTTAGGCCCAAAATACATTTCTGACCTCCTGCTAAATTATGAACCATCCAGATCTCTCAGGTCTCCAGGGACTGGTCAGCTTTCTGTCCCCAGAGTCAGAACTAAACATGGAGAAGCAGCGTTCAGTTATTATGCTCCAAATATCTGGAACAAACTCCCAGAAACCTGCAGGTCCGCTGCAACTCTGACTACTTTTAAATCCAGGCTGAAGACTTTTCTTTTTGTCGCTGCTTTTAATTGAACTATTCATATCTTAGACTGCACTGTAACTTTTATCCATGTATTTTTTCTTTTAATGTTTATTTTATTATCTTTTCTTTTTAATGACTGATTTTAAATGCCATTTTCTTAATGTCTTTCATTTTTTGTAAAGCACTTTGAATTGCCTTGTGTTGAAAAGTGCTATATAAATAAACTTGCCTTTCTTTTCTTAAGAGTGCAACCATCTCAGAAGAAGACGCACCCAGGTCCAACAGCAGCCAAAGATAACATGGAATTTTCCACAACATTCATATCATAAACATTAATTATGTAGATGTTTTATTTGTGAGTCAGGATCAGCACTTAAGTCTTCCTGGTTTAAACTTCTGAGCTCTAAATTAGATGACACAATGGAGTTCTTTAGACTAGAGGATAATTAGCATGGTAATCCTAGATGTTAGTTTGAAAGCATTTTTCAGATCAGGGAACAATAAAACTATCTATTTGCTCTGGTGTCTGTCACAGTCATGGGAACAGCAGCCAAACTTTGAAGACCAGGTGGGTGACGCAGTATGAAACAAGTCATTACAACGTCTGTCAGTGACATTTACTCAAGCAGAAAGTGATGTTAAACCCAGAGATCAGTTAGTCAGCTAATGTGAGAACACCATAACTGTTGGAGTTAATGGTATACTGAAATGGCCTTTAAAGTTATCAAAGGTTTCTGGCTCTGGTCCATTATCATGACAGGCAGGTCTGCTTTGTTTGATGTGGAGTTACCTTTGACCTTATGGACTAATAGTGTACAACTTTCAGCACTTACATTGTGGTTGCTTATGGATTACTTGAACGGAAACAGTCTTGTGAAAACAAAGACAATTTCGCAGAACAAATACATTTTCTTTCAGTATCCAGTTTTGAAAAGGGTTTAATATATCAAAAAAGATTTGCTAAATCCTCCTAACCAACTGGAGTCAATACAGTAAATACAACTCCCTAATAGTCAACAGCCATTTACTGTACACCTTTCATAGATGCCAGGCCATGTTTACCCCATTTAACTTGTATACACTTGCCCTTGTATCACATTTCAGCACCAATTTAATGAGTTTTAAGAGTTGTTGTTACTAGGGACAGTTGCACATTGCAAAACAATGACATCTAACTGCGGGTACGCCGTTGCAACAAGAAACATGAACAAGAAGTCAAGGAAGAAAGGAAGAAATGGTCCCCAGCATGGCCCCTATACAGTGCAACAATACGTCACCAATGTTACCCAAAAATATGTCTTTGGTTTTAACAAAACTGCTGCAGCAGTCACAACCCTAACCCTAACCCTAACCCCAACCCTATGTTTAAGTAATATTAGCCACATGCAGGCAGGCTTAGTAGCATTTTACTTTGATAAAAGAAACATCTATCTCTACTATCTCTATCTTTTCATCCGCACTGTAATCAGACTGAAATGTTAATTACCTGTGTTGACCTACTTTTCTATCACAGATCAAAAATAATCAGCACACAATAGAGTAATTCATAAAGAATGTCAGCAATTGCCAGGATCATGGAAGGCATTAATGTAAAAATGAAAAACATGTTTTCCATTCTCACCCCCAAATGTTACATGGTGGTTCTAAATAAAGGAAAGTGTTGAAAAGTGAAAGCTCCAGCCCTGAGGCGGTTGGGCCTCAGCCCTTAATCCACTTTCTCCACTCTTTAAGTGAACGTGTACTTGAGGCCATTTACATGATGCTGCATGCATGACTGGTAATCTGCTGTGTCTCTGTTGTGACTGCAGTCTTTGCTGTGTGACTACACACACCTGCTCCTGTTATCTGCCAACCAATATGGCTGATGTAATGGATCATAACGCCAGCATAATGATTCAACCTGGAGTGGAGAGAGCACTGCAGCAACACTGTCATATCTTGGTGCTGCAAAGAGCAGGGACATTTGTAACACTTTTAAAAAGTCCAAATCATTTTCATATAACTATCTGATAAAAAAACCACAAACAAATAGATGTTGACCTGGGCACGGAGCTCGCTGACAGTCTGTTCCTGCTGGGTCCAGTCCTGGGAGCGTGGCGGGCTCCTGGCCCCCCAGTCTGCGATCTGAGCCTCCAGCCGCTGGTTGGCCTCCTGCAGCCTGTTCACCTGCTCCAAGAAGCCCTTCAGACGGGCATTCAGACCCCCCATGGTGCGACTTGAGTCCTGCATCGAGTCCATTGGGGAACTTAGAGAGCGCCAACCTGAATGTCCACAGACACAAGCAGGCGCTCACATTTCCATATAGTCAAATGACACGGCTTGTAGTGCCTGTGGTGGCCAAAACACACTGCCGCTAAAGACTTCTTGCACATACAAAGATATAAAAGCAAATAGTTCGACACCCATTTTTAGATCACACAAGGCGTTAACTAGGTAAATGTTTACCCAGTGATACTCACTTTTGGCATCGTGGCCTTCCAAGGAAAGTGTAGTAAAGAGGCAATAAAAGTCCCGTGGTCTATTCTGCTGGTCACACTGAGCCGATGCACCACTCCCCACAGCTTAGCCACATTCCTGTACAGCGATTCGGTCAAAACATTCTCCTCTCCGACTGGGTCCCAGGTCATCAGCAGCGGCCCTGAGACAGCACACAGACTGCCGTTAGCCTGCCGCTAACACCGGTTGCCTCTTCGGGATCCTCCACGACAGGGACCTTCCTCCCTGTCTCACCTCATCCCCTGGGCAGGCAGCATGTGGGAGAGGGGAGAGCAGTTGTGGGGGGGCAAGCAGTGGACACAGTGCTTACATCACCAGCACTCTGGGGCCCTTTGTTCTCTCTGATCCAGGATTACTGTGCCGCTTTCAAACAGGCAGCACCACAAGCTGTGGAGGGAATGTTCAGGGAGACACAATGACAGGACCTGTGTGAGTGTATGTGTGCGTTAGAGTGGTACTTTAATAAGAGGTTGCATGTACTATAATTCATGTGAAATCTCTGTCGCTACACACAAGTAACACACACTTTGTGCAGGGTTACCTCTTGCTCAATAACAGTCTCGGCTGAGTGTTTGTTTCTGTCTGGGCCAAAGGTTTAATCTTCTCAATAATAAAATGTACCATTCAATATCTACTTGCTCACAGCCTTCTGGATTATTAGAATATTCTCATAGATAACTTGTACAGGCAGATATCAAAACTGCACAGAAAATATTTAACCCTTATGTTGTGTTCGGGTCTCCCGTGACCCGTTTCAAGTTAAAATTATATAATAAATATGCTCTAGTTTTTTTTTATCAGAACAAGGCTTCACGATATCCTCCACAACAGCTATATAAACACTACAAAACTGTTTTGACAATATTAGCCAAGTCTGAAGGTCTCTAAAAATAAAAGTGGGGAGACCCAGCATAATTGTTGTGGGTCACTCAGGGTCACATTTGGCCCAATCAAGATTCAACTTTGACTTTAGACTTTAGGATGTGAGGATTATTAATACAGAGCGGAGTCAGTACTTATATCTGCTACAACCATTGTACAAATATATTATCTGTCTAGACTTGTATTCTCTACGCAGATAATCGAGATAGAGGAGGAGCTTACTTTCTCATGTGGTTTTGCTGACAGTTTGCCAGGGTTCGGCTTTGAATCCCTAATTAATGGATAGAAAGAGGATCAGTTAAAGCACAGTGAAGAAATGAAATGTGTCGAAATGTGTTCAAACACACAAGCTGGCTATCAGCTGGGACACTTACCGTCATCACACCCTCTCAGCAAGGTGGCTTCCTGTTGGCAAGACTAAAATGATTAATAACGCTGTCAGGTAAAATCCCGGAAAAGCAGCACCTTTCAGGGCGTAGCAGGTATCTCTGTAGTCAGTGTCTGGGACTAATTATTTAAGCTGTGGCTGCAGGGAATGCCACCGAGCCTGTTTTTTAAACTGTCATGTTGCTCCCACAAAGATCCAAGACGTCTCCTGCTCTCTGTCGTATGACATTTGGGGTTAGGCGAAGGGGAATCACGTAACTGCAGGCTACAGTGACAAGCAGGTAGTGACTTGTTAGGCAAATTCAAGGAGCAGTGGTGCAGGTTTCAGAGTAAAATACTGTCTACAAGTGGATACAAACTAAACGTCCTCAGATTATAGGTTACACTGATCCTGACCCCTGCGACTGGACATTCCTCTGACTGTTCTCCGTGAGGGTGGGCGCTTTGATCGTGCCTTTTGTGATCCCACATTTTCTATACAAGGATCCTTTTAAGTATTTGACTGCCAAAAGAAGGAAAAGAAACACCCCTTATAATAACATACAACACTTTGATCCATTATCCAACTGTTGTAAAACAAACTCCATGCCAGAAGCTTTTTGTCTGTACATGATGTCATTACAAACACCTTGTACTAAATTGCAAGGTATTGTTGTTTAAAACTACAAAAAGGATTATCCTCACATAAACTCTTTACCAGACTTTGCTGTAGGGGCAATGTTCAGCCAAAGCATTTTCATGTGCTTTTACTTGCAGTTTAAAGGTATTGTAAGACACAGAAACCGCAATAACAATGGGTCTTGAAATGCCAAATCACTCATCCTGCGACAAGCATGGCTTATTTGTGTATGTCAAGTGCTAATCCAAGCATCCATCATATGAGGTTCTACTGAAAATAACCATTAGTGTCATTGTACAAACCTTGTTATTGCAAACCCACAGGAATTCCGCCAGCTCTACTGTTTTATTTAAGCTCAGTGGACAGTTTGAGCATCTTTCCAATCTGCTTTGTTTTTCTGATTGATTTGTTCTGGTTTGGTTGAGTCTCACAGCTCTCATCAGCCTGATTGTATTGAGAACAATAGAGCCCACTGTATGCTGTCTGCCCAGCATCAAACAGCAGACAGGCAAAGTTAGTGACTAGCTCAGTATTGACAACCATCTTCAATGAAAAGTAGCTATTTCATTAGAAACTTTGCATATTTGGGACATCATTATCATTTATTTATGTGGCATCTGGATTGGGCTGTTGCACTTGAGGGCCGTGTTCCACAAGAGCATCAGTCATGCAGTAGTGCTGAAGCAAAGTCAATGTTTCACTCATCTCCAATTTTTTGATTAAGGGTTTGTTTAAAGGGGCCCTATTGTGCTTTTTTGAGTCTTCCTTTCCTGTAGTGTGTTCTATAGGTTTTAGTGTATGCAAATGGTCAGCAAAGGCTAAAATCCCTTTGTTCCCTCCACAGTGAGTTTCTCTCCCAAACACTCCCCCCCCCTGCCTGAAATGCCTCCATTGGACTCCTTTGTTTACTTCAGTAACATAGACCCCATTTACATGCAAACGCATACGAAACGCAAACAAACCGAATACGATATCAAAAAAGTCTTCCGTTCACACGAGACCGCTCGGGAGCGCTGGACACGCTGTAGTACATACGCCGGGCCTGTAAGTGGCGCTGTACTTCTGCCACAAAATACACCAAAAGCAGTGAAGAAGACCCCCGAGCATGGTTGCCATGGTTGTCCTTCTGGTGGATTTAGCAACATGTAGTTCATGTAATTCTCCATGTCCACTTGTTGCTGATGTGGTAGAGGAGCTGTAGATTTTGCACTAACATGGTCAGTATCATGTCAGTATCATGGTCATGGTCAGTAGCTACTGACCATGCTACAGCAGTGAGCAGCAGAGGTGGGGAGAGGCGGGGCTATGGCTTCATCGTTATCAGGAAATGATCGTATAGGGCGTACACACGGAGCCGTTTGGCCCCCCAGAGCCTTCCGTTTGCAGATCTACACACCTTGGGACCCCGTTATCGTTTGCGGGGTCCGTTTCCGCATTTCCGTTACGGCCTTGTGTGAACGAAAGGGCTATACGAAAGAGAAATGTAGCGGATACAACCGTTTGCATTCTCGTGTAAACAGCACCATAGTGACATCACTATGTAACACTAGAGCTTCTATTAGCCAGCGCACCAACACATTGTACATGATAGGCTAAGGGGTGGGACATTTCTGAAACAACTCTTAACAGTTGACCAATCACAACAGTCGGCAAGCTAACCAACTGACTGGGCTCTGGTTTCAGACAGAGGGTGAAAAGAAGTGCTGCAGCACAGGCAGTATGAGAAAAATAAAGCGCTCTTTGAACATTACAGCATGGAGACATAACTCTCAATTCTAATTTGCATTCATAAAATTAGAATATGAAACCTGGAAGTGAGCAGAATATGTCCTCTTTAATCAATCTGACAGCACACTCAAATGAGAGTGTCGTTGTTTGAAGAAACAAAGCGATTTTGTGTTTTTACAGTTTTTCTCTTGTTTTGCTTTTGTTTTGTAGTATTACACGACTAATGTTGCCTTTCTTTGTAAAACCCTGTGGCCTGTGCTGTACAATGAAATGATATTTCCCTTGATCTGAAAAGAGCACCAATCTTATCTAAGAACTCACCCCGAGAATCAACAGGCCCATCCTTAATTGTTCAGGTAGCATCAGAACTAGAACGTCCACATTTTTTGCCAAGAATGTTCTCATACGCTTTTAATTCCATCAACCATCGCAGACTTTCATACCAGTGGGGAATTACCCTTTCAATAGACGCTTCAACACACATCATTCCATACATTTCGGAGCTAGTTAGAAATGAAAAAAACACCATGGCAGACAGTCCAAAGAAATACCTTTCGAAAGTGATTTACATCCAAGGGAACCTAAGGGAATGGCTCACTTCTTCTGACAAACAAGGGTGTTTCCTCATGACCGATGGAAAGTTGGTTGTTAATTACACACCACAGACAACAGAAATAATAAGATAAGAATGTGTCATTAACAGTGATCACGAATACTGCTTTGTTCCATTCCCACACCTGTTCTCAAACAATATTGAGCCACAGCAAGAACACATTTGCGTATTCCCACAAAGGCTGTAAAAGTTGAATTAATCTAATGTTAAACATCATTTGTGTAAACAAAAAGTGAGGGTTAAGATCCTGAGGCAGCTTCAAAACAAGTACATCAAAGTCAGTATCATTAAATATTTGAAAAGGAAAAGAAGTTCTGTGACAGGTCCTGGAAAACTATTATCCTTGTCATAAATTGTTTGACATTTTGCAAAGCACCTCAGGGCTACACATCATACTTTCTTTTCATAAAACAAATAGGAGTGCCAGACAGCTGTCATTTGGTGTTACTGTACGTACTATAGAACAAGGATGGGCAAATATTTCAAAGATGCCAACAAGTTTGGAACTTGTTTTTAATATCGGCCCTGTGATGAGTGTGGTCAGCAGAGGCTGGTGCAGGGGTGTGGGTTAGTTAGAGCTGATTATTGAAAGTGAGATGAGGCTCTTCTTTGAGTCATCTAATGTTCATAGCATGACAACATGAAGAACCCAAATCACCCTGTCAGAACAGCCTGAACAAAGCATTCTGGGACATCAGAGGTGCATGACACAGAGACCTAAGCCATAATGTACAGATGATTTCCCCACATGACAAATTATATATGATCTTTAAACTTTTGTTTTATTAGAAAATGAGTGATATGATGTCATAAAAGCTTGACTAGGCACAATTTGGAAATACCATTGATTAAGGCCTGTCATTAAAGGACTCACAGATTTACTCAACTCATTACATTTACTAAACTCATTAAATTCAACACTTTGTTTTACTTTTAAACCTGTAAAAAAGAAAGAAAAACACTGACCGAGCTATGCCTGAATCCTTATATTCCACAAACTGACTTCACATTTGAATTCCTTTTAGTCTCAGCATAGTTTAACATTTTTAATGGATCTAATACAAATCATCCTTAGTTTATGCTCCTTTGTCAGTTTAACTCTATTGTGAGAAGTTTATCTGATGACTTTGGCGCATTTATATGTCAGTACTTCTATAAGTCCTTAAGACATTTGGCTAAATACTGTTATTTCTAACTTTAGATTCAACATTGCCCGGGTTGCCAAAGTACTGAAGGTGTGCTATAGGTTCCGTTAATAAAGTGAAAGGTAGCAAAACAAAAAAGCCACAGCTTAAGAACACCTGATAAAAGACCAGCAACCACTTGCCAGTCTCTTGTAATTGATCAATTTGCTTTACACTGGTAATATAAAATCAAATACATTTGATATTGAAGTGTTTGTTTAAGTGTCTGCTGCAATGATAGTGAACAGGACCTGGAGTCTGTTCAGTTTAAAAGTGATTGTTAAAACTTGAAACTGCTATGGGAATAGGAATATCGTGGTACTCCATCGTTGTTTGGCCAGGAGTCCACTAATGATGCCAAGATCAACGTTTACCTGCACTTTACAAGCAGCAGACAGAAAGGGAAGGATTACTGAACATTGTGTATATAGGGTGTAATAAGGATGTTGTGAACACCAAAACACTGTCTATCAGTCTATCTGGGTATCTGCCCTCGGGTTCTAACAACACTGCTGTGTTCATCTTACTAGCATCCAATTGAGGTCACTGAAATACAATTTGCTGACAGATTGGCCAACACAGACCTGCCATTATCAAACCACAAACAGTTATTACTTAAGGAAAGAATTGCAGACCTGTATTTCTGCAAAAGGAGAGTTTGTGTGAAAATTGAACATGTTTTATTAAAATCTTAGAAGCAGCACTGTGCTGCCATTTGATACGTTACTAGAGCTGTGCACTATTGTAGTCAACAAACAACAAGAAATTGCAGTCGTATGAAAACAAGTATTGGCTATCCGTAAAGGCCATCGAAAAAAACGTGTACACAAGGCCACTGTGTAAAAAAAAGGTAATGTTAGCTGAATGACAACAAATAAAGTGAAATGGAAATACAAAACTATTTCACTATTTTTAAGCAAGCTAAAAGCGCTCACCGATAACAGCTTGCAACAGCAGCAATAGCATGAGGCAGAAATGGTTGAACAAATATGTTTTCTGAGGAATTAAACGTTTGCTCTTTGAG